TGGAAGCTTCCCGTTCTTTAGGTACTTGATATATTTGTTCCTCCAATCCTAGGTCAGACTTGTGGAGTTGATTTAGGTGTGGCCTTCTTCGATTACTGACCTTGAAAGTTGGACGACAGTCCCCGATCTAATCCTGTTGTCTTCGACTGATGACCCCAAATTTCCAAGGGCATCGGCCTCACTATTTTGTTCTCAAGGCACATGCTATAGGCTCCATTCTTTAAACCGATGTAGAGTCACATGTAGTTGGTCCAAGTACCTCTACATTCGATCTTCTCGAACCTCGAAGGTTCTGTTGACTTGGTTTACCACAAGCAGGGAGTCACATTTAGCCTCGATGACCTCTGTTCCCAAACCTTTATCTAGCTCGAGACCTACAATCATGGCCTCATACTCGGCCTCATTGTTAGTTAACTTGGAAGTTTTGATAGCTTGCCTAATTGTATTACCCGTGGGCGGCTTCAAAACGATGCCTAGTCCAGACCCCTTCACGTTCAAAGTGTCGTATATGAAGAGGGTCCACACCCCCGATGATGTACCCGACTTTAATAATAGTTTCTTTTCGACCTCAGGTATGAGGGATGGCGTAAAGTCGTCCATGAAGTCCGCTAAGATTTGAGACTTGATGGTCGTTTGGGGTCGATACTCGATATCGTACCCACTGATCTCGACGGCCCATTTGGCCAATCGGCCCGAAAGTTCAGGCTTATGAAAAATATTACGAAGGGGGATAAGTAGTCACCACACAGATCGGGTGACACTAAAAATATGGTTTTAATTTCCTAGAGGCGCTTATTAGGGCAAGCGCTAATATTTCTAAGTGTGGGTACCGGGTCTCGGCCTCACCTAAAGTTCGACTAACATAGTAAACAGGAAATTCCGTACCTTGCTCTTCTCGAACTAGGACCCGACTTACCACGATTTACGAGAGTGCTAAGTACAAGTAGAGTTGCTCGTTCGCTTTCAGAGTATGAAGCAGTGACGGGCTCGAGAGGTACCGCTTTAATTCTTCCAATGCTTGTTGGCATTCCGGGGTCCATGCAAAATTATTCTTCTTTTTGAGCAGTGAGAAGAACTTGTGACTTCTATCTGAAGACCTCGAGATAAATCGGCCTAGGGCGGCTATGCGCCCTGTTAATCTTTGTACAGCCTTAACATTGTCCACGACTTTGATGTCTTCGATTGCCTTGATCTTATCGGGGTTGATTTCGATCCTCCGATTTGATACCATAATGCCGAGGAACTTGCCCGAGCCGACCCCGAATGCACATTTCTCCTCGTTGAGTTTCACGTAGTATTTCCTTAGTATATCGAAGGTCTCCTGCAAATGTGTCAAATGGTCCTCTGTTCGTAGGGACTTAACTAGCATATCGTCAATATAAACCTCCATTGATTTACCTTTTTTTTCTTCGAACATTCGATTTACTAAGCGTTTATAAGTAGCACCATCATTCTTTAGTCCAAACGGCTTTACATTATAACAATAGGTGCCGTACTTAGTGATGAACGAAGTCTTTTCCTGATCCTCCGGGTTCATTTGTATTTGATTGTACCCGGAGTAGGCATCGAGAAAACTAAGGATCTCATGGCCGGTCGTGGCATCGGTCATGCGGTCGATATTCGGCAGAGGAAATGAGTCTTTAGGACATGCTTTGTTTAAATATTTATAGTCTACGCACATTCTAAGTTTATTTCCCTTTTTAGGGACTACGACTACGTTTGCTAATCATTCGAGATATTTTACTTCCCGAATGGATCCTATTTTGAGAAGTTTGGCTACCTCGTCCTTGATGAATGTATGTTTTACCTTGGACTAGGGTCTTCTCTTTTATTTTACCGGGCGGAAATCGGGTCCAAGCTCACTCGATGTGTAGTGATCTCTGGCGGGATCCCTATCATATCTAAGTGGGACCAAGCAAAACAATCCATATTATTGATAAGAAATTTAATGAGTTTTTCCCTGAGCTTGGGGGTTAATCCCGTACCCAGGTATACCTTTCGATCGGGTAGATGCTCGATCAGTATGACTTGCTCCAACTCTTCGACTGTCGATTTGGTGGCGTCGGAATCCTCGGGGATTATGAAGGATCGAGGGGTCCAGTAGTCATCGTCCTCGTGCATTCCCTGCTTCTCCGACTGAGTCGAGGCTGGTGGTTGTGGTTGCTATTTAGCTTCCTGTTTTCCTTTGGACTCCGATCCCTTTTTTGACGAAAGCACCGATACCGGTATTACTTCGTCGACCGCGAACATCTCTTTGGCAGCATGTTGTTCCCCATACACCATTTTTACTCCATCCGGTGTTGGGAACTTCAGCATTTGGTGAAGGGTTGAGGGGACCGCCCTCATGTTGTGAATCCAGGGTCTTCCGAGCAGTGCGTTGTATCTCATATCGCCCTCGATCACATAGAACTTTGTTTCTTGAATAGTTCCGGCTACATTTACTAGTAGGATGATTTCACATTTAGTTGTTTCACTCACCATGTTGAAGCCATTGAGAATCCGAGTTGCAGGTACGATCTGATCTTATAGGTCGAGCTGCTCCACGACCCTCGATCGAATAATATTGGCCGAGCTTCCTGGATCAATTAAAACATGTTTAACCTGAATTTTATTCATAAGGATAGAGATTACCAAAGCATCATTGTGGGGTTGTGAGATCCCTTCTGCTTCCTCATCATTTAATGATAAAGTGCCTTCTGGCACATAGTCTCGAGTTCGTTTTTCCCTCGTGATTGATACTTTAGTGCGTTCAAACACGGGCCCTTGTGGAGTATCGACCCCCCCAACGATCATGTGAATCACGTATTGTAGTTCTTCCTGCTCGTTTTTCCTGTTTGCATCCATGTCTCTGAAATGATTTTTAGCTCGGTCACTCAAGAATTCTCGAAGGTGACCCCCGTTGAATAGACGAGCCACCTTCTCCCTTAGTTGTCTGTAGTCTTCGGTTCTATGACCATGTGTACCATGGTATTTGCATATTTGATTGGGGGTTCTTTGGGATGGATTTCGGAGCCGCACTTGGAGGGAAAGGTTTTTGTACGAATTTCTTTGAATCCATACCCTTTAGAATCGGTGGTGCCCCCTGTATTTGGTCAACCCGGGAGTTGTATGTCTTTACTTTCTTGTCATTTGCCTCGATTTTCTTTTCTCCCGATTCAATCCGTTTAGTGAGATCCTCGAGCATTTTCATAATGGCGGGGTCAGTCCCCGATTCGTTGGCGTTCGACCTTTCCGGCACAGGCTCAGTCCTGTGGACGACTTCTGGTTCGATCCTACTCGGTGTTCGATGCTGATTTTGTAGTTATGCTATAGCGGCTTGTTGAGCCTGTAACATTTCGAATATCAATTGGAGGCTAACTCCACCATCTTCTCCGCCCTGCGTAACTTGACCACCTTATCGAACTTCCCTGCGTACGCTACCTTCGGGATCAACGCCCAAATTTGCATTTAGGGCGACATGCGAACTGACATCGACGGGATTTGCAATTGGTGCTCCCTCAAGGTCAGCCTGAGGTGCCTCGATCCCTGGGGTGGCTATATTGTCATTTTTCCCGTGAAATCTGAGGCCGTTGTCACCATGTGTAGGCGCTGCTTGTGAGTTTGACATGTTTATCCGAAAACGAAGATTCTTACGACAACAAGTGTAAAGCAGTGTGTGTTATCGGAATCAGTATTAAGCAATCACTATTATCCTTGGCCCCACGGTGGGCGCCAAACTGTTTACCCTTAAAATTGGATTACAATTAAACTTATAATGTAGTTCTAAGGACACGTGATTTCACTTAATACCAATTGATAAATATGAAGATTAATAACAGAAATGAACTATAAAGTAAAGCAAACCAGTGTTAGAATGGAACTCAACCCTCGAGTTTGGATACCCTCGAACTGGTTGATGTAAGAACAATTAAAATATAACAAGCTGATGAACAATAGTATAAACGAGAAAGAGAATTATATTGTTTTTATATCTGTGAACAATGTGTCTTACAAATGATTAGAACCCCCTTTAAATAGTAGAGGAATTTCACTTATGGTATAATTCTAATTACATGAAATCCCATGATTAGCTAATTAACCGTTTCTGATTTGATCCGTTCCGAGATTTACGCCATGATCCTCGACCAGTTACAGATATCTCGTCTTTCTGTTATTGTGCTATCTTCGATCTTGCTCGATGTCTGTCTCATTTGGCTTCGATCGCTACTAGCCTCGATCTCGACAGGTACCTCGATTCTGAACTCGGTACCTTATCCTCGTGATTTAGTCTTCTGTTACGAGGCCATCCTTCGATGCAACCTCCCGGTCTAGGTCAAATAGTAAAATCGGACACCGTATACAACATGATCTCCTTAAACCCATACCTTGCGCTAATTTTGGGTGTTCATAAGAAAAATCAGAAAAAAGGACAAGTTTGATCATGATTGTTAACGGAAAAGATTAGGATGTAAGTTGGAGTTTATCCATCAGAATTATTCTCTCCCCCCACCCACGCAATCCGCAAGAAGTAAGGAAACTTGATTTGGGCAGCAATTATGAATCTTAGCTCTATTCTCATAGAATTTCTTATTATGGTACTTAAAATTTGTTAGAACTTCCACTTTAATAAAGTAGACCATACTTGTTTAGAATGAACAACCTAAAAAGAAAAAAAGGTTAAGGGTTTCGTGACAGACCTATATCCAGGAGGAAAAGAAAAGAGGAGAGGATGTATGTCACGTTTCCCCCTATTATTCGATGCAGTAATATTTCAGTTGACCTGATACAAGCATATGAGTCATGTTGTAGGCACTTGTTACACGGTCTTATGCAAACTGTATTAGATTGGGGATTATTATAGAAGGTGAGCTAGCACAATGCAAAGGCCATGCCAATTCTGAGCCTCTTCTCACCATATATCTGAACCAGTTTTCCCAGTCCTTAAGTCGGGGAATATCTGCGATCCATCGAAGAAGAAAAGCAAGAAAAATTTAATTAAAATATAAGACAACGACAAAAGGTCCATAAAAAGAATCAGCTCTGCTTTTTATTTGCAGCATGAGATATTCAGTGATAACCAGAATTTTCAAAGAATACATGTATATTATCTGGATTCTCCTGAACAGTGGCTGCATTGCAGCTCGACAGAAAACAACAGAATACAACTCTCGATGCTCTTCGCGGTGGAGGAGGATATAGCTCGCATAGCTCTTCACAACGGCTGCCTTGCTGGCAAAGTATGTTCTCCTATGGGTCAGATGATGTATATAAATGCCTTTGACATACTAGAGCAGTTTCACAACCTTTTCCCAATCCCTGCAAACCTTCTAGCAACTCCAAATATAACCGCTTTTGTCAGAAGTCCGCGATCAAGACTACAAGCAAGGGCAACTGCCCCACCAATAACTAGGAACCTTGGTATGTTCCTTCGCGCAGGCTTCTCGTATGAATCCTCAGGCTCAATCTCAGACAGAATGGCTCTGCTCCCCAGTGATCTGAGGTTATCAATGTCAACTTTGGTGTTGACCTGCGCCAGGAATGCACTTCTTGAAATTGGGACTTCGGATGCTCTCTGTTTCTGGTATGCACGTAAACCAGGATCAATCTTCCTCACAGCTCCCCACATACCTTGTCTAACCCCGAGTTTTGCAATTTCCCAAGGTATACCCATGTCTTCATAATGAAAGAGTAACACTTCACATGCAGTCATCAGACCATCTCTCTTGGATTCAGCTGTTCATGGGAAAAAGAACAATTTAGAGGCATAGTCATTAAAGTAACACTTCTCAGATGTTGAAGTGAAACATTTCAATTTTCAATTTTAATACTTCCTATCGTGACCCCCAGGGAAACTGAATTTGATGGTTACTCATCATAATTGCTTCACTAACTTCCACTATTTTACAGGAAGTTGAGCAATCAAGCTAGCAATATTACTTTAAATTACCTGCACGAATGCACCAGCTTGAATAGTAGAGATCAACACGTCTTGGTTTGTTGCGACGGGGCACAGAGGAGCATGGTACACCCTGAGACATAAGAGAAACTCAATTTTTGAAGATCTTAAACGATGACTATTAAACATTTCAACAAGATAATGCACAACGGAGAATATGAATGTGAGTGAGGGCACTGTCAACCAATATCAGGTCAAAACAGTATTTAATTTTCAATATTCTGTTCTCCTGAAGTAATACTACTCATACGTCCACACTGACAATGAAAAACATGTGGTAGGTGCTCCCACTAGGGTACCTGCAATTTACTGTTATGTCTTCCCCTTTCCAACAGGTAAATATTCTTGTTCCTTTTTCATAACTGAGAAATCCCCGAAAGCCAGTGGCACATGGTCCTAAACTCGGTGGGTAATGACCCCCCCCCCCCCCCCC